TTATTATTATTATTATTATTATTCCGCATGTGCTGCCCATGCTGTGCTTTTGAGCAACAAAATTGAAAGCAGAGTGAGACCTCTTTTCTTTTTTTTTCTCAATCCATCTAAACGTGTGTGTCATCGGAACAAACCGASGAAATCAGCTCAACAGAGAAGTTTGGTGTTTTTTTTTTTTTTTAGTGAAAGAGGACTATACGAACAGATATTGTGCTGGTTAATTTTCGTTTTACTTACATTTGCACCGTTGTCATCTGACCTGCTTGTGTAACAACCAGAGACTGATTATACCTCCCATCCTATCTGTTTGAAGCTTGTCAGCTTAACTCGAGCGTTCCTATCCTTTACTCTCATGGCTGCCAATCCTCCAGGACAAGGTAATGTTTTAAACGTATGTCGAACACTTTTTGTTGATGTATTTTTCTATCTTTTTCAGGGGCGGAGTTACAATTCTTGAAACCCTGGAATGAACTCTTTCTGGTTCTTGGATCCCCTTTGGCACAACATGATCTGTTTTACAGCTTCACTAAATATGACATGAAATATAAAATCCTTGGTCTTACAAATGCAAAATAGTTTTGATAATAATTTTGTTTTAGTAGTAAAATTGCTTGATTTATCTCACCCAGCACGGTCATTATAATTAACCAATTACACAGTGTTTATTATTAGAGCCATTTTGAAGTCTTACATTGTTTTGTTTTGTTTTGTTTTTTGTTTACATTAATTAGCTTTCTCAAACAATGCGCGGGCAGCTATCTTGGTCGAGCTGAAGAAAGAGAAGGACCGGCTGATCCAGAACCGGCCCATGAACACTCCTGGTGCCAGGTAGAGTTAGCTGTATTTATTATTATTAAATAGATTTTTATAGTCTTTTTTTTTTTGGTTTGGTTGTTTGTTTGTTTTCAATAAAATCGTAACACAGAAAATGCCTGTCCTGRAGTATCCCGCTGTCCCGACGGAACATGAAGGATTTTAGAGACAGCGCAGAGCTGCAGCACATTGCTGCTCAGCAGAAAACTGCTTTGCAGGTATGACACAAAACCAGCAAAAGTGCATCTTGGTAACTATTCAGTCTGAAATTGTTTTTTTTTTTTTTTTTTCATGTTCTCTTTTTTAGCACGCACATGCTCTTTCATCAGGCTTCTTCATCACTCAGGACTCCTCGTTTGGGAACCTCATCCTCCCGGTCCTCCCACGCCTGGAGCAAGAGTCTTGACCTTTGACTCCCTGGTCTCCTCACTTGTTGGACCTTTGCTGTGAGACAGGAGCCATGTGTTTTCTTTTGTGAAGTTTATCAATGACAGACTGCTGTTTTTTATTTTTTACTTTTGTTTTTATTTTAAGAAAAAGCTTCATAAGAAGCTCATACTTTCTGCATACTAGTAAGGGTTGACA